GTCGAATCATCTTCGTGCTTAAACCATCTCGTCCAGGGCTTTTTCTAACTTTCCTTTTTTCGATATATCTAATAACCTCCGAAGGTTTGGCTAGACGAATGTTGTCTGCATTTGTTTTTGAAAAATATTGATTGTTCGTGAAGCTAACTGTGTGTTCTGTGTCTGGGTTAGCAATGTTATGAATGGAAAACTGAGATGCATAGTTATCAGCTAGTGACTCAGCTTTCTCAGTTTCGATGTAAGCGATTCCTCACTAGCTGCACTATTAGGCGGCCATTAAGGGGCGGAATATTTGCGTAGCATCTTTTATATTTGGATCCAGATTTCCAGATTGAATGATCATCAGTGGAGAGAGACTCCAAATAATTAGACCAGTCTCGTTGTGCATGTGAATTAGTAAGGGACCTGACTTCCTGATTTAGTAATCTTTTGTCATCAGGACAACGTGAGCGTTGCCATTCTTTCCGTGCTCTGTTACGTCTTTCGATCAATGTCTTAATTTCAGGATTTCGTGAGCGTTTGCACACAGGAACCTTTTTGCTATGATCAGATAGAGCACTTTTAAGGGTATTGGTAAATTCATCAACTACAGCATCTAACTCATCCTCACTTTGGGCTGGATTATGGTCCGATGATAATTCAGTAAGGCTATCGATCTTGTGTGGAGCATCGATATTTTTCATAATGAAGAAATCAATAGTACTTGCACTATCAGAGCTATAGCGAGTTCGGGAGGGCGGAGCTGCAATTTGAAAGTTGGCCTTAGAGGCAAATCTATCTATAATGCAGCCATATCTAGCGTTAGTACTGCAGTTCCAATTAACATGGTGGGCATTGAAATCTCCACCTAAAATAATTTTTGTATTGAGTTTGGAAATCGCCTCTAAATCAGCAAAGACTTCCTTTTTAGCGCGGTGGGCGGGAAGATAGGTGGAGACTAAAGTGATTGGTCATTGAGTGCGTGGAATGATCGTGATAGCTAACGCCTCCGCGGCCAAAAGCTGTGGAATTGTATTTTCGTAGTCAGAGATGGAGCGCTTGACTAAAATCATAAGTCCACCATAGATTCTATTGTTCACACTTGCTCTATCTTTCCTGTAAGAATCATAATTGCTCACTCTGAAATTTTGGTGTGGGCCAAGTTTAACTTCTTGTAGGAAGACTACATCGGGACTGTACTCTTGTATAAAATCCCTGAGTTCATTATATCTCTGGCATAAGCCATTTGCGTTCCATGTAACAATGCTTAAATTTTCACAATTTTGCAAACTAGCCATTAATTTCATTGAACATTTCAAAGTACGCATACAATCTATCAATGTTAACAGTATGGGTTTTAAGTTTAGGAACTAATTTTTTAAAAATTTGAATCATTTTTCATATATTAGCCTGCCCAAATACACTATGAATTTCTTTCATATATCTTAGGAATTCAAAAATATCTGAGCCATTAGTGCATCTTATTACTAGAATTAAACATATTATTGTTACTATTTACATTTCTATTTTCAGCCTGTAGCAATTCAGCAATGGGGGCATTTTCTGGACTTGTGCCCTCACTAGCTGCACTATTAGGCTTATTTGTTCGATTCAATCCTGAGCAAAACTAAGACCAGGTTTTACATGGTTTTCTTGGTGATTGCAGGTTTGTACTTATTAAATTTCGGGCAACCACGATACGACGATGGGTGCTGGTCTAGGCAGTTCGCACACTTGGGATTGTCTGTGCGACCTTTTATTGGACATTCGACAGTTCTGTTTCTCAGCGCATTTAACACACCTAGGTTCAAAGAAACAATTCTCCGAGGAGTGATGCCATTTCTGGCACTGAGGTACCTGATTTTTTTAGATATATTTTGAAACTGCCACGGATAATAGCATAAGCTCCTTCAGCTTATATATATCTTCAATATTCTCAAACTGGATGAGTGTCAGCAAGAATAAGGGCATGGGCACTCCAGTCCTGCGTCTAGTTAGCTGCGCTACCTTTTGTACAGCATCCTGCAGTTTCTTGATCGCGTGATTTATGTTCATAGACTTCACCGCAAGTGCTGTGTCGTCAGCATAGCAGGCTAACAACAAATTATGATTTAGATGTATCCGTTGGAAATCAGACACTTAGAAAAGGTAGAGAAGAGGGCCGGTCACCGAACCCTGGGGATGCCGCTTGCCATGTTTTTTGTATTAGATAGATAATTCCGATTCAACAGAAACTCTAAATGTCCAGTCACTAAAGATAGAGTGGATTAATAAAATCAGTTCTCTGTCCAGGTTGAGATCGATAAGCTTGGCTATTAAATCTTACTTTGTAACACGAATGCATTCTAAAATAACTAACTGCGTTGCGGTTTTCGAGACAAATGAACGCAGCGCTTGCGTAGCAGTCAAACGGTTAATTTCGCTTCTCTTGCAGTTTTACTTTTTTATAATATGTTGTTGTTGACTAATGCTCACCTCACTTGTCTGACCTATAATCAGCCCAAGTCCACGAAATGTCTCGAGGCAAGGAGCGCAAGATACGCCTGTCGTTGGCCTTACAGGTGACAGTGAGATTTAGCTGTTTTGCCCAAAATTTTGATGGAAAGCATCGTGGGGGTGACGGGTCTGAGCGTCTCCTACCCCTCTTTCCCTACTACCAACCTTTCGAGAGGACTTTTGCCTCGCATATTTAGAGTGCGCTCCATGCCGCACGGACACTATACATTTACAGGCATCCATGTCATCTCCGGGATTGGAACCCGGCCCTTCATCATGGCAGTCAGCATCGCTAACCATTATACCGGTTGGGCGGCTTTTTATAACATAAATGTACAATCTTTCAATAAATATGTTTGAGTGTGGGTTTTAACAAAGCATAAAATGTTTGCATATTTAGCCAAAAGATAAAATGTAATTGTTTTGATTTTTCATGTTATTATGCTAATAATGCTTCATTTTAAATGTTAATCATAAGTAATGTCCCTTCAATATCGTCGCTACATAAAGGCGCTCGCTAGACATTTTCACGACGGCGCAGATCAGGATTGGCGCGGGCTTGACTCAAACCCAGATTTGGTAAATGCTTATACAACATACTAACTTATACTCTTTTCAGATACAAAACAAGAAATTTCTTCCCTAAATTTTTCTTGGTTTTGATTACAATTTCCAACTGATTTTAATGGGAATATATTGAAAAAGATAGGTTTACAATAATATAAAAGCTTTTAATTCAAACTAAGTATAATGCAATAATTTGTAAACCAGAATCAACCAAATTTTATAACACTAAAATAAGTAAAATGTGAAAGGGCATTGCAGTAAAACTGCAACTCAGTATACGAAAATATTTAAAATAGACTGTCAACTTAACAAGACTTTGGCTAAAAAGAATATTAATTTATTTTCCATACATAATTAATGACAGAATCACCATGCAGAGATGGATACTACCACAAAATCATTTAATTAATTCATTAAATGCAAACTGAATAATTACATTATGTCTCATTCTTTCAAAGCAAATTACAACTAAAGATATTATTTATATGTCATTCAGTAAGATTTCTGATTACATCATACAAGATGCAATTGCTTTTTCTGCGGCCTGATTACTCTAAAAATGCTTTTGTTACAGTAGCTGCTAAAATGGTGTATAATTTAAAATTGAAATATTATAATTTTAAAGATAAAATAGCTGATTGTTAAAAAAAAAAGTGTCTAGAATATATTCAAAAATAAAACTTCTGCTTTTTACAACACGAGCAGCATTTAAGAGGTCAAAATGCCACACTTTCTTCATATCTGCTATATGGTACGATTCAACTCTATCCTTCAATTTTGCAGCTTCATTTATTAAAATACCTGATTGAAGACACAACCAAATTTTAGAACCAAAAATACAGCAGAAAAGATGGATGTTATTTTCATGTAAATGCAGCAATAAACACACACACATAGAATGAACTGCAATACATTCAAGATTAGTATAAAAAATTTCTGAATAGCAATAAACTATTCACTGAAATACTTCAATTAAATACCAATATATATATGACACCTCATCAGTATCTATTGATCTGTATCATCATCACTATTGCATCCATTGCATTGCATATACTGATAGTTCTTTATTTGCATGATCACATGCATTGGTTTTTATTATACTATCCATATGTTTTCCAATTGCTGAGTGGATAAGATTGAATACTGGTGGTCCACCCTAGGTTCAAGTAGGCTTCTTTGCAGTTTTTCTCATATTTAACCTGAACATGAATGTGCTTATCTTAAAAACTCATCCACAAAAGCACCCTTAGGTAGACAGCCCTTGTGTATTTTACTGTCGCAATTAGACAAACAAGTAAGCAATGTACAGTTTTCAGATACTACTGCTAATTTTGGATGAATATTATTTTCTCTACTGTTGTTAGACATTATGCAAAAATAAAATAACATCAGCTTCTATAATAAAGTGAAATAAGGGTTTTAGTTAAGTTTAAAAATATTTTATCAATATACTTTAATTTTTGCACTCCTGAAACTGATAAGCCCTGCCCCCAAAACAAAAGGAAACTTACTATTTAAAAACGTATTTTGTTAAATAACAAATATTCAAAATCTACTGAATAATGACATTCTTGGATAACACAATTTGCACAAAGAAATTGTTTGAACTTATCATTTACCAATTTTCCACAATATATATCACACATCTAAACTAGTGCCATCATATTATCCTTTCTCATATCTTGTTCATGAGATTCTAAGATAGCTTCTACAACTACTTATTACATTTTCAGAATTTCCTTGTTACAATCCGAACTACCATCTAATTTGCTTAATTCAAAAACTTCTGTCTGTAAGAAACTTAAGAATTTTAAGAATATTGTTAAACTAGCTGTTACTCGGCATGCACTGCAATGCTGCTTAAAGGAAAGAAAGTGTTTAATTATGTTTATCAAAGTGCTTTTGGATTTTTTTTTTTTTTTTTTTTTTTTTTTGTTTTTTTTATCTGGTATAATTTAGGTTTTTTTTCGACACATGAGCACACCCCACATAGCTGCCCATGAAAAAAGCAGAGATTTTCAAAATTTAGTCCATCAACCCGTAGCGATTGTTTCTGTGCTTTGTTGATGGTCACTGCAATTGCGAGTCTCACCAGAAGCTGCAAACGTTTAAATACGAAGGGCATATCTGTACACATGGCTGTCACCCAACATGAGTTGTAATGCTACTTAAAGGAGAGTTGTAATGCTACTTAAAGGAAAGAAAGTGTTTATGTTTTAAATCTGTTTATGAAGTGCTTTTGTCTACACAATATTTGTTTTCCATCTGGTGCAGAGTATTTCCACTTTTCTACTCATGCAGCACAGTCTTGGTGCTTCATTCTTAAATTTGAGGGCTCTGCAATACATGCATAATTTCTCCATCTCTACAACGACCACACTTGGATGATGACTGTAATCATAATTATCATTGCAATGAAATGCATCAAGATTTAAATCAACATGCAGTGTTTGTCTGGATACTCAAAAGTTTTCCAGTCTTGCTTCCCTTTGCTCATGCGTTTCAGACAAATGGGCTTCAGCAGTGTGTAATAGACCATTTCTCAGTCTTCCTTCACACATTGTTTCATTCCAATGGGTTTTGAGCAGTGCACATTCAAATGCTTTCCAGTCTTGCTTCCTCTTACTCTTGTTTCTGAAGCTTGTGATACCTTTTTCATTCATGCTTGAGGTGTGGATCGAGCAGCAATTGATTTTTGTTTTGGTGGCATAATTGATTTCACAGGGAAAGTAATGCTTTGTGACGACTGTTACAAATTCACTTTTAAAAAGCTAAAAATGTGTGTGTGATGTAATAACATGTTAATGCATGCATGTTAATATGTGAAAATTAAATATTTTACGCTTTGCTAAACAATAACACATTTTAAAATACATCAATTTGAGCAGCGGCAACATATTGCCCTTAAAATAGCTGAATTTGTGTATTAAATTTGAAACAAATTAATATAATTGCATTCTCCTGAACAGCAATACAATTTTTTTACATCGCCAAGTTTTCTGATTAACTTTGAAACATACATATCTTATGCTTTCCAGAGTGGCAACGCAAAGCTTTTAAATCACTATATCTTTAATCAAAAGTCCTTTAAATTAGCATAAAATATTTGCATGCATGCACTGCCTAATAAATATTTATCAATAACCAGACCTCATGGACTGGTTATTGAAAAATTTTTATTTAGACAGTGACCTTGCTCCAGTCTTGAAGGTCCAGTGTGGCAAGTTTCATAAAAATAGGAATTAAAATGCAAATTTCTATAAAAGACAAACAAGCAAACATTCATTTACACCTATAGATTGTAATGCAGGTTTTCATGTTTTACAGATTTATGTGAAACCTCTTATAAGCTGAAATGGTAATAAGAAGTAATTTCTTTAATTCACACAGGAATGTGTTTTGAATGTTTCCACATCTACAAGAGGGCGAGAAACCTATCACATTAAACCAAACAATTCATAAAAACCTAAAGTAACAACAAGAGGAATAATAATGTGATTAAATACATAAACCACATAAATAGAAGAAAATGAGAAGTGAAACCAAAAACAGTTTTTCTTGAATCCAAATTCTATATGGTTTGTATTTGATAGAATACTTCACAACATGAATTAGAAGAAAAAATTACCTAACATCGAATGCTTAAAGCAAAATTTGAAAGCTTTTTAATGAAAAACAGTAAAGGATGCAGTTTTAGAAATGTATCTAAATTTAGTAAGAAGATACAAATAAAATTTCACTAACATATATTTTTCCTATTCAGTTCTTTGCAGGTAATTTAGAAACTTTGAAAACTGCCATAAATTTGCATAGTAATCACAATTATCCAGAATTTTATGCAATACAACAAACACTTAACCTTACACTTTTGCTCATCAGCTGTCTTCAGAAAAAGTAAAAATCATTTTTGGATTTCTTTTGTTAATCGACAGTTACTAATTTAAGACTTTCATAATAATATGACAAATACATAACATTTGTAAACCATTTGTAATGTGGAAACTATCTAGAATTACATTCAGTAAAGAATTTATGTATCAGTATAAAAAATTTACTTATGCCAAAGAAAATGCTTTATACATTAATGTAACCAAATGAAACTATCTCAAATTTTCGAGACAATTAAAATTGACTAATAACACTAGTACTAAATTGATTCACTTCTAAGTTAGTGATAATGTGTCGATGTATGTAACTTACATATAGACAAAAATCAGCTGGAATAGCAAAATAGAGTTAGAAATGCCTCTTTAATGTAAAATTCTCTGCAGCCTTTTTATAGCATAAAATTTCTAATTAACTTGTTCTAAAAATAAATGGAAAAGTACAGCTTTATAGAAAACTTTGTGAGAAAAACTAGCCCATATTTATATTACATATCAAGAAATCCTCCTAACCACCCTATTCATTCACTTATCATTTATGTCCCCTTTTTAAGAAATTTACTTGGTTTTATTGATAACTGGTTTTGTAACACAGCTAAACATTTATTGAACCTTAATAACAAAATAAATCATAATGCACAATCTAAACTCAGTGCTTGATATCAGCACTGTAGAATTTTTACACCTCAGATTTGTTGAAACATTCTGGATGCACACGTAGATGAAAATGATTGCTTACTGTCGCAAACTGGATAGAAACTGCACTGACTTGCCAGAGCTTCAAAATTTTAACCACTTGACTATTTTATTAGGTTTATCATTGTTACACAAAATAAACAAATAAAAATTTTAAAAAATCCTACATATCTTAGATGAAAAGTTTTGTAGCTCCTAATAAGGATAGGTAAATAAGCTTCCGCTATATGCAAATTTCTAGCTCCAAATAACACACACAGAAAGTTTCCTAATATTTGCAAATACACATGTGTTTGTCCAAAATATATTTTCGTGTAAATGATCTGTTACATAAATTACACATATAAGGTTTCTCACCAGTATGAATACGCAGATGCTTCCTAAAAGAATCTGCATGTGAAAATCTTTTATTACATATAGAACACTCATATGGTTTCTCTCCCATATGGCTACGTTGATGAGTTATTAAACTAGACTGATATTTAAATGATTTCGTACATGCATCACACTTATGTAGTGCCTTGACATACTTATTTTCTGTATGAATAAGCAAATGAATTTTAAAGTTAGCTTTCCGCCTAAATGATTTGCTACATGTGTCACACTTGTAAAGTTTCTGACCTGCATGTATATGGCTGTTTAGTTTAGACTTGCATGGAAATGTTTTGTTACATACATTACATTCATATGGCTTCTTACCTGTATGGGTAAACATATGTATTTTTAAGTTCTGCATCTGTGGAAAAGATTTATTACATACATCACAAATGTATGGTTTTTCTTTCGTATGGGTACGCACATGCCTGACTAAACTAGACTGACGGTAATATGATTTGCTACATATATCACACATATAAGGCTTTTCACCAGCATGGATAAGTAAATGGGCTTTAAAGTTCCGTTTGTCGTTAAATGATTTGCTACAAGTGTCACACATAAAAAGTTTCGTACCTGTATGTATTAACATATGTCTACTTAACACATACTGATAAAGAAATGACTTATTACATATGTTACACTGATATGGTGTATTAGCTGTATGAGTATACATATGAGCTTTCAAATAATGTTGCTCAGCAAATGATTTGTTACATACATCACACTCATATGGTTTCTCTCCTGTATGCCAATAACGTACATGTCTGATTAAACTAGCCTGACGGTTAAAGGATTTATTACACATACCACATTCAAATGGTTTCTCACCCGTGTGGACAACCAAATGAGCATTAAAGTTACCTTTTGTGCTAAATGATTTGTTACATTTATCACATTCAAATGGTTTCTCACCTGTGTGGATAAGCATATGAGCTTTTAAATTACCTTTAGTGCTAAATGATTTATTACATGTGTCACACTTATGAGGTTTTGAATGTGTATGCATAACCATATGACTATTTAATCTAGCTTGGCATGAAAATGACTTGCCACATACATTACATTTTTCCTTCTTTAATGTGCGAGTACACACATGTGCATCTAAATTATATTGCTCTAGAAATGGCTGGCAGCATATGCCACATGAAAGTGGCCGTTCTTTTGTTTCAGTGCTCATGTATTCCTCAAAATAATTTTTGAAGATACGAAATAACATACAAAAAATTCTGATTGGTTGATACTCAAAATCACTTCCAGACTTTATTTCCAATTGTCTTTGCTTTCATGTGAATCCGTACAGGTGAGAAATACTTTCACTTCCTCTTTCATCTAAGGCTTCTTAATCTGCATATGCATGGCAAATAATTCATGGCATTAGTCTGTCTTGAAATCTGAAAAGAAACTACAAATATTAAAAAAAAATTAATGATCAAATCTTCAATTAAAGTAACTAATCGATTATTTAATGTGCTTTTCCTCAGGCACAACATAAAATAGTTTTCATTATAATAACAGTCAAAGAGTGTGGCAATAATAGATACCAAAATTTAAAGAAATTTTTTATTCGAAATCTGAATGTGCATGTAATACAGTACAAAGTCTGAGATCTGGCATTGTTGGGACTTCAGATATTTGATCATCAGTTTAAATTTAGTAAGATAACATGTATAAATTATAAAATTAAAATATAAAATAGTTATTTTGAAATAATGAAGCATTTATGATCTTAAGGGGATTGAAAGTTTCAAAAAATGCTTAATATTAATTTTTCTACTTTATTAAACATTTTTTTAAAGCAAGTTGTTTAAGCTGTTTTTATTTATTATTTATTTTTTAATACTTTGCCTTAAATATTATAGATAAACTTCTCTTTTTTTTCAATTACAAAATCCTGTAATTGCCATGTCAAGAGCTCCCACTCTTAACCCTTTGATGCATGCGATATTATTTTTATAATTTTTTTAACTACAAATAGAAATTGAATATTATGATCATAAAGACAAATAATATATGAATTAAAAAAAATCTACTCTCGCCCATTGTTCTGTGGTTGGTGGTCACACTGTGAAACCACCACGTGTCTAGAACTTTGAAACTTACTAAAGTAAAAGGAAAAAAAAAACTTACCTTTTCCCATGCACGTTTCCAATAAATAACAAAATTTACGAATTTTAAAAAAAGTGTATGTAAGGATTGCATTATATATATATATATATATTTACATTATTTTACAAAGTAAATAGTCAGAAAAAATAAACATTAATGTAATTTTTTTATAGCAGTGAAAATATAAGTACCTACATAATAAGGACGTCCAGATAAATGGATTTAAAAAAAACTCGGTAAAATAAAGAGGGGGGGAATCACTTTTTTTTTTTCTTAATTGTTTTTTTTTTTTTTTTTCCAAAGAATACATTCTTTTGTGACACTATTCAAAGCCTGTTTTTGGCACATGCTTAGACTCACATTCCACGTTTCGCACATATAATCTTGCTCTATGAGGTTTCTTCCTTGTGGTACAAAATGTACACTGCCTGGATCTAAATTTCACTGGCATATGTCCAGCGCTATTCAGTTTCTTTTCATCTGGCACATAAAATTTGTGTTTTTTTTTTTTTTTTTTTTTTTTAATGTTAATTTGGGGAACTTGGTCTTTTTGCCTTTGGTACAGATCATTTGTTTCCCATTCATACTCATTTCATTCGTATTTCAATCAGAAAGTATATTTAATTTAAATAAAGCTTTACACGATTTCTATTTTTAATTATAGCAAAGTATATTTACATTAATTTTAAACCATATGAAATAATTTATAAAATCACAATACTAGCTCTATCATGACAAAGTGTGTTGAGGTCAGAGAAAAGTCTCTGGAAAAGAAATACCTTTTTACTAGGCAGGTGCATGTATTGTTTAGTAATAAAATAACTCTGTGGTTTCAAACCCCTTATCTATACCTGGGTAAAAATAAACATCCCTATTTGAAAAGCAAGCAAACACTATTGTGAAGAGCAGTGGTTTCAAGCTGCAACCATAGAGCCTCTAGAGGATTGTGAGCATTGTGACACAATGCTCTAGCGGCTAAGTGGTTGCACCTTGAAACCACATAGCAAATGCCATACATATAGAGGGTTTATATATATATATATATCTGCATATACATATATATATATATATGCTTAATTACTGCAATTTTTTATTGTTTATGATAGAAATCATGATGTGCGATGAATAACTTTTGAAATTTAAAGTTGTTTTATTAACAAAAGGAAGTTATTTTGTCTCATTTAAAATGAATTTTAAAAGGCATTCGATTTGAAGTACTAAGACCTATGATTCTGCAGTCATTCTGCAATCAATTGATTTTCACTCAAAAATTTTGAAAAGAAGAGGAGAAAAAAATTCTAAAATTGGTGGTTTCAAGGAGTGACCACCGCACATCAAAGGATTAAAAACCTCTTTGTCACTTTCCTCACAATCATTAGTGATATTTTCTGGATTTAAGACCATACTACAATTAAGACACAATAACACGCCGAATAAATACTAATTCAGAAATCAAACAACAAAAATCAGCGTTATATTTACAAAGTTTTCACAGGACTAGTTTCGATGGTTTTACCGAACCACCATCTTCAGCTGCAAACCGCAAATGAACAAGATAGGAAATAATGATTAGATAAGATAGAAAGCCTGGACACTAGACAGGAGTCAAGCTACTGGAGCCATCTGTTGAGGAAACGAGAACTAAAACATAAGTTCCTTAAGGCTGAAGGCTGATATGGATTGGAATTAGGGTCGTTAACTAGATCAGAAAGATATTTTTGAATGTGAAATGCCTCTAGAAAATCTAATTCACCAATGGAAGATGCTTTTGAATAATTTTGGCCGCAGAAAAACTGAAAGTGGGATATTCGGACCAACAATGCTGGGCAACAGAACTCTTCATTGTTTCCTTTTTTCTAACATATGCCTCAGTCTTCTGTTCAATAAGCGAAATTTTAAGGCTCTCTTAGTTTGACCAATGTAGATTAAACCACACTGGCAAGGAATCCTATAAATACCAGGAATATAAATACCCAGGAAGATGATTTAAATAAAGTTCTTTCAACAATGAATTCTATTGATCCTGCATTCGTTCACTTTTGAACTTGCTTGCATTCTCTTCCGTTTCTCGACATCTGGTCACACGTAACAATCCAACTTCAGTACTAGGTTTACCGTAAACCTTCATCGGTTGCCTTCCCCACACTAACATATGCCTCATGTTCCTTGACGCGAATTTTAGGCTCTCTTAGTTTGGTCAATGGAAATTAACCACACTGGCAAGGAATCCTATAAATACCCAGGAATTCATATCCGGAATGGGTCCTTGAGTATGGAACTCGAATTTTATTGATGGGAGAATAAACAACCGAAAGTTAAATTTCTGCAAAATATGTGCAACTTATAGCTGATTGATGGAAAAAGTGAATGACAACAGAATTTTTATAATCTCCTAAAACAAGAGTGTGCCTTTTGTGTGTTGAGTGAGAATTTTTTACTGCTTTTAATATTTTGGGTGGAAAGCCCCGTCAATAGCTATTGCTTTTAAATATTAGTTCTTCATCAAGGGTAGTTTGGAGGAGCAAACTTGAAGAGCACTAAAACATAGGAATAAAATGAACTCACTTTTGTTTAGTCCCGAGCTGTTCAAGTGTGGTGGAAGGCAAACCGATGAAGGTTTACGGTAAACCGTAGTACTGAGTTGGATGTGTTACGTGTGACCAGAATGTCGAGAAACGGAAGAGAATTGCAAGTAAGTTCAAAAGTGAACTGAATAGCAGGATCAATAGAATCATTGTTGAAAGCACTTTATTTAAATCATCTTCTGGGTATTATAGAATTCCTGGAGTATTTATAGGAATTCCTTGCCAGTGTGGTTTAATTTACATTGGCCAACTAAGAGAGCCTTAAATTTCGCGTCAAGGAACATGAGGCATATTTAGAAAAAGGACAAAGAAGTCTTCTGTGCTCAACATTGTTGGTCCGAAAACCACACTTTCGTTTTCTGCTGCCAATTATTCAAAAAACATTCCATTGGAGAACTGGATTTCTAGAGGCATTTCACATTCATAAAAATCTTTCCTGTTCTAGTTAACGATCCTATTCTAATCCAATTGCCTTCGGCCTTTAAAGAATTTGTTTTTTGTTTGGTTACCAACAGATGGCGCCACTTGCTTACTTGTCCAGCTTTCTTATCTTATCTAATCATTATTTCCTATTGTTCATTTGCGGGTTTTGCAGCTGAAGATGGTGGTTCGGTAAAACATCGAAACTAGTCCCCTGAAAACTTTCTAAATATAACGCTGATTTTTGTTGTTTTGATTTCTGAATTAGTATTAT